AAGTAAAACACCTATAAAAAGTGCGTAAATGTAGTCAAAATAATATTACCTTTCGTGGGAAGGTGAATCGCAAATTTGATGGCCATTTCTGGACAATACGGCTTACGATAACCGTTAAATTGCATATTAAATGGGCCCAAATTGAGCACGTGTCTATATGTAACTGGTAAATGCAATTACTCCGGAATGCCTGGCAGTTGTTACAAAATTTAATTACAAACGTAAATGTTGAAATATGTGTGCACCCAGCTAGCGACATCATTAACTTTTCACCAGTCCAGACGAAGTGCTTTTCCACTCGCTTTCCCTTCACTTTTCCCCAAGAAGATTTCACCGCAGGCAAAATACATAAAATGCCATGTGTCTACACGTAGGTGGAGCAGATCAACAGCCAGGGACTGGGAAAACGGCAGGACGAAGTCCTGGAATTGGGTTCTTTTTATACACAGTCAGTTGATATTATTTTTCAATTAAAGGAAAGCTAAAGTTTCTTTGTCCATGCTGATTCCCTTGTTCCCATTTTAAATATCAATTATGCAAATGGCCATTCTCATTTTCATAATCCACAATATAGAAACAAAAAATGATTATTACATATATATAATAGCCGCAACAACTACATAAAAACAATTTGCATTTATGAGCACTTGTTGAAGAGTTCCTTTGCCTTTTTCTATTGTTCTGGCCAGGCTGACGTCAGGATATCAACGAGTTGGTATAATCCTGCGGGGAGGCGGAGGACTTGTCACTGGGATTAACATCTTTATAATGCAAGCAGAAAAGTTTTGCCGCCTAACTTTTGCACAGAGAATCGCTTTGCATGCGCTCATAAATCAGTCAGCGAGTTGAAGAGTTTTTCAGAATTTTCAGCAAGGGCAATATGTTATAGACCGAAATAAACCGAAATTTCTATTGAATTTTTCAGAATTTATTGCAGCGATTAATCAATCTGAACTTTGCCAATTTTCAGAATACATATTTCTTGGAAATACAGGTAGATTTTATATGTATTTTCAAAAATTAAATTGGTTCACAGACGAGCGATTTCAACTCCTTTATCTTGTTTTCGTCTGAATTGGCAAACTTTTCATTAGCTAATGCCACCGAACGGCAATTAGCCGTGGGAGTTGGCCCTGAATAATAATCCCCACCATTTGCCCCACTAATTCCAGACAATTTGAAATGGCAAATGGAGGCGCAGCCGAAAGTGAAATCAAGTAAATTATTGTTTTTGATCCGAGTCTCATGCGCGACGCCCACGTCGAAGCTCTGGGGCTCCTGCGATTCCCACAATAAATTCAAATAAGCCCACTTACGCAGTTAGCCGGCGAACCACCTTCGTTCATCCACATCTGCTTCTTGGATCCCCGGATCCCTGGATCCCTGGATCCCTGAATCCTTGGGACCTTGGGTCCTGGCATTCCTTTGGCCCACTGAGCCGTCGACTTCAAAGGCGTTTAACAGCAGCTGCTACTGCTCCTGCTGCATCGGTGGTATTTAGTAATGAGCTCCTGGAAGGGCGCCTAAGCCATTCTTAGGTCCTTCCAGACCGCTTCGAGTTGATACTTTGGCCACCTTTGGTGGAAAAGCAGCCCACGCAATCACATAATGGGTGGCGAAAGGTAATTTCGGTTGGCAAAAGCGGGAATACTCTAAAACAAGCAAAAGGATGGTTCCCATCTTAGATTTTATTAAAAATAAATAAAATAAAATATCAAATATTATATCAAGAGTGTAAGTTTCAATTGATTTGAAAACATATTCAAATACCCAAAGACAACTCATCCCTAACTTTAATTTAGCAAAAACAATATGTGAGATTTATTTTTTGTAATGACTTTTTAGCAACTTCTTGAGGATTTTGTTGTAATATTTTGTTTATTTTTAGCAAACTTGATAGTACACATGATTGACAATATATTTAAGAAATGTTTTTCGACACACACAAGCAATAATAAAACAATCAAAGTGACAAACAATTGTAATTATATTCAAACTTGATAACAGAATTCCCGTATATTGGTAGATAAAATACCCTCTGAAAGGGTAAAATATACCCGTGTGCACTTCATATCTATAGATATTTTACTCGCAGTGTACTACATACACAGAAATAATGTGGGCGTGACCCGTGCGGAATTCGAACGACAGGGCAACTGTCAAAGTGCCGCTCCGACTGTCGTCTTGTTTTTCGGTTTTGGGTTCTCGTTTCTCCAACTCGTTTCGGGTTTGCTTTGCCAGCTGTCGACATTTGCCTGAAACTCAGGGTGACAAAATATGTGCGATGCTTAGGGTCACAATGTTCGACATCAGGCGTAACCCGCTGCCCCGTACTCCTAATATTTGACTAATTAGGCAACAACATCGGGCGTTGCAGGGAAAACATCAACGCGAAGCATTAGGTTCCAGAAACTACGCGAGAAATTGCATAAACCCATAAAATACTGCCTCAAAATTAAGTTACTACAGAGAGAAAATATTTAATTTTTTATAGATGTTCATTATTTTCCGAAATTTGTAAATTCAACTATTCTCACTCTAGCAAAGTCAATACCCACAATTGGACTTTCGGAGACCTTAGCTTTACCAAATTTAAACCAATTTCAAAGTAGCTTACCTCTAAACACTCGTGGTTCCATTCTCTAAAAATCTGCATTCAAAATTTTCATTTTAACGTTGGTCAAATTTTTCACCGATTTTCATGTTAGTTATTTCTACGTTTCCGATGGCTTGTAAAAGGGTAACCCAAATTTGGACTTGCATAGTCCATAACTTTATCAAATTTTATCCGATTTCTAAGTGGCTTACCTCTAAACACTCGTGGTTCCATTCTCTAAAAATCTGCATTCAAAATTTTCATTTTACTGTTGGTCAAATTTTTGACCCATTTTCATGTTAGTTATTTCTAAGTTTCCGATGTCTTGTAAAAATATGACCCAAATTTGGACTTGTAGAGTCCATAACTTTGTTAAAATTTATCCGAATTCAAAGTGGCTTACCTCTAAACACTCGTGGTTCCATTCTCTAAAAATCTGCATTCAAAATTTTCATTTCACCGTTGATCAAATTTTTGACCCATTTTCATGTTAGTTATTTCTAAGTTTCCGATGGCTTGTAAAAGGGTAACCCAAATTTGGACTTGTAGAGTCCATAACTTTATCAAATTTTATCCGATTTCAAAGTAGGTTACCTGCCATAGAGACGATAAAAAATCTTTTCGGAAAATCGACAAATCTTTAAAACAGACGCATACAAATCTAAATGTTTCTTTACAGAATACCTAATTTTTTTTAAGTGGCATATGTATATAAACTTCGGTGTGAAGTTTCCTTCTCCTATAAATTTGTAATTAGTCAGTTCTCTTTTTCTTGCAGTGAGGGAAATGCCATCCCCTGCCGTACCCAAAAATACCAGACACAATTCTGTCATACAAATTAATGTGCTGTGTCACGGGTATGTGAAAATCCTATTTAATTGCCTAGGCAACCAACACCTGCATGGGTCGGTGACCATTTCCATTACGCTGACTGCCGTTTGAAGCGGATCTCAGACAGTCTGTATTGCACTTCATTTCCAATTAACCACGCTGCCATTTAAAGTTGATGTCACCCCACTTGTAGGAATTGAAAAAAATGAAAATACAGAACGAATGAAATGGGGAAATTGTTGCAGATTGCCGGGGGATCTTGGTGATGGATTTTCTCACACATCTGTGGCACGTGCAGTGGCCAGACTAAAAGTGCTGATTTAGATTTATGTGCATGGCGACAAGTTGGGGGAAAAACTGAAGTGGATTATTAGTGCCGCAGGAAAGGGGAAAATCGGGAAATGGCAAAGATTAAAAGGAAAAAATTTAACGGATTTTGCTTTAAATTTTAAGGATGTTTTCCTGAAAATAATCTTCATATTTCCAGATTTTTTCACGCATGACTAAGCCCCGTGAATGACACCCATTGTTTGGCTAGAATAGTTGCTCCTCAAATAGCAACAGCAGGAATAACAACAATTTTTCTAGATTTGTCATGCATCAAATATTGTTTTGTCCATTTCCATATATAGCAATCCCATGTCTCGGCTTTATGTGGAATTTCCCATTCTCCTTCCATTTTGTGGCATTATTAAAAAGTTTGCAATGCAACGTTTTCTGCTTTTCGCCACACACTCTCACAAATCACATCTACATTTTTGATGGTCAGCTGGGAAAATGGCTTTTACCTACGTTGGCCTACTTACACTAAGCTCAAGTTTTCTCTTTGCATTTTTCCAACTTTATCTTTAGTACGCACAGGATGTCTGGATGGGAATGTAACGTAAAAGGTTTGAGTTCTCTTATTAAGTTAGCCAGACCACATATCATAAGCTAGTTGAGCGGTCAACAGGTTCTGTCACAACTTCTGGCTTGGTTAAAAAGAAAATTGCAATGCTAATAGAAGAAACCAAGAAAATATCCACTGCTTTATCTCGGAGTTGATTTAATAAATAAAAAGCCATTTCAAGATAAATTGCAGTTGAAGCTGCATTCGTTTTTGCGGTCTAAGGAACTGTGCTTGACAAGAATGGTTTCGGTTTGTAGTGAAAAATGTAATTTTAGGCGAAACAAGTTTATTACACAACAAATTAAATGTTACATTTTTAACAAAGTTAATACTTTTTTAGTTATAAGTATATATTAAAAAATTATTAAATTAAGTTATATCCTTTTTGTAATTTTTGGATAATTTTTACAGATATGTTTATAAACGGAAAGTAGGGCTACAAAGAAACGGCGTTAAAATGGTTTACAACAATGCCATTTTTTTATAAAAATTAAATGATAATGTTACGATTAAAAGTAACATTTTATTATAAGATGTATTTATTTATGTTTGTTTAGTAAAAATTGTTGGCCTTTAAACTTTTTTTGGCAAAGTTTCTTGTTATATAATACAATCGAAACTGGATATTGACTTATCCTTCAAATAAGAATTTAAAGTGATTCTCGTAACGAGTTTGTATAGATCATGAATCGAATGCCGGTCAGACGCAAGAGGATCAGGAGAGGAGGGCCCGTAACCACGACTGGATATATCTGTTTGATCGTCAAACTGACCATTTTATTGGGTCTTTGGATCGCCTTAACCTTCGTCCTGTTAACCCATAAATCTCATGACGACACTGATACCTTGGTGACCGTGATGCCCCAACAGAAGGTCTTCAAGAAATTGCACATGGAGCACGAGAGCGTTGAGATAATCCTGCGCGGAGCCATCAACAAATATCTAACGAATCACCTAATCCGCGGTGCTAACTTTTCGGCAGTCGGGATTCGTGTGGAGTGGCGGGATCCCAACCTGAATCGGAGCTACTTGCGCACGCCCAGATGGAAGGTGTATCTGTCGAAGGATAAGAGGAAGTACAATCAGGTCGAGAGGATCTTTCATTTCGCTATTTCGGGAAAGTATCAGGATAAGGCGCTGGATGACCCGACGGGCGTTGATTGGGGCTACGCCCACACGGTGATCTCCTTCGAGAGCATGTGCCGTCGCCCGGTGGGTCTGTTCATGAAGGTGGACACCATGCCAATGGTTGGCAAATATGCGGTAATGTACTCCGCCCTCCTGCTCATCGGCCTGTATGTGGTCATCATCTGGGAACTGACGGATCGCACCTTGTGCACCCTCCTCTTGACCGCTGCTGGATTGGCCCTGCTCACTGTCCTGGGGAATAGACCATCCTTCGGGACGATCATTTCATGGGTGGAATGGGAAAGCATGATGCTCCTGCTGGGCAATTTGATTATGATAACCCTGATGGCGGAGACCGGCTTCTTCGACTACCTGGCCGTGGTGGCCTATCGGATTTCGAAAGGCAATTCCTGGTTTCTGATTGCCCTTCTGGGCATTGTGGTTTTTCTATTCTCGGTTTTCCTGGACGCTGCCACCGTGGTGCTGCTCTTTAGCCCCGCAGTGATTAGACTGTGTGAGGCGATGGCCTTGAAGACCACTCTGGTGTTGATCATCCTGGCATTGTATGCCAATATCGGTGGATCTGTGACCCCAGTGGGTGGACCACCCAATGTGATCATAGCCACCAATATGAACGTGGCTGGGGTGAGTTTCATTAACTTCTCGATTCACATGCTCCCGACTGCCATCATCTGCATGATCACCATCTTCATCCTGGTCTACCTGATCCTGGGCAAGCGTATCTTTATACTGGATGAGAACCAAATGGAGTTGATTAAGAACAGGCAGGACGAGATGAGGTCCTCATTCGACGTCCAGCTAAGGACTGCCGAACTGATCAGGAATCATCCGGCGAGGACCTTGCTCCGACCGGCTCCCAACTACTTCCAGACTCTGGCCTACCTGGAGGCCAAACACTGGATCCGCAAGAAGATGCTCCTGGTGCACTCGGTGTTGGCCCTGATCTTTGCCATCTCTTGTTTTGCCCTGCAATCCATACCGTGGGCCATTCCCGGCGCCTCCCTGGGCTGGATATCCATTCTGGCCGCCTTCCTGCTGCTCATCCTGGCCGACAAGGAGGATCTCACCGACATTCTGGACAAGATCGAGTGGTCCACCTTGCTGTTCCTGGCCTCGCTCTTCATCCTCACCGAGGTGGTCTCCGAATTGGGCTTCATCCACTGGCTGGGCATCCATGCGGTGGACTTGATCGTCAAAGTGGACGAGCAGCACCAGAACATGGTCGGCATGCTCCTGATCCTCTGGCTGTCGGCCATAATGTCCGCCTTCATCGACAATGCAGTGGTGGCCACAATCATGGTGAAGCTCTGCATCGAGATGGCCTACCACGAAAACGTGGCGGTCACCCTAATGCCGCTCATCTGGGCCACCAGTTTCGGGACCAGCTACGGAGCCAATGGAACTCTGCTGGGATCGATGGCCAACGAGTTCGTCTCGGTGATTGGAAGACAGTACGGCTATGAGATCACCTTCCGGACCTTTTTTGTGGTGGGATTTCCCATCATGCTCGTCACCGTGGCCATCTGCTCGATGTTTCTAGTAATCGCACACTCAGTTTTTGATTGGCACTAGAAATTCATATAAATGGAATGGAATTGTTCAGTTATTAATTATACTTTCCTACATACTCTTATATGATTTTTACTTTTTTTTATACTTGCTACTATGCTACTATCTTTTTGACTACCAATTTTATATTCCTACCTAATGTAATCTCTACTTTTGTGAATAGTTTTTGAAGCCACACTGTATTTCGTATCCCATTGTAATTTAATAAGCATTTTTATGGGGAATTTAATTATTATTTTAATCAGGATAATATACGGTTTTAAAATTACATTTTGTAGTCAACATTGAAATGAAAATTTCTATATTAAATTTTATGAACATTTTTGTGGTTATTTATTCAATTGTTTCAATTGAAAGCTAATGGTTTATTGCGAAATTTTGTGGGCTTCAAACTGTTGGCTTGCTAAATATTTGCAGAAACCATTGAAATTGCCGTTTAGAGTACAGCACCATTTTCTGTCATGGCTGGCAAATGCAAATGAGTTTTATTGTTGCCTAGAAAAGGACCAACCAAGTTTTTGGCGCCGACAAAACGGGAACACACTGCAAATACACACATACACTTGGGCAAATTAACAAAAAGAAATTAACTTTTCCCATTGTAAAAAATTACTTTTTATTGTTGGGATATACATTGCCCTAATTAGTAGATAAGAAGATAAAGAATCTGTTTAGATCCTCTAGCATTAATATTTTTAAACACACTTTAAACAGAATAATATCACAAATTTATGAACTTAACACTTCTCTTCGCAATTAAAAAAATTAAAATTGACTAACCTTTTTTTTCTCTGTGTTGAAACGCGAATTGATGCATTCGCACGCACATATGGGCGTGTGTATATTAAATCGCATTTTCGTTGGCGTCTTTTGTTTACCAAATTGAATTTTTCATTACCGCCTGACCAAGTGTTGTTGTGTTCGGCTTTGTGGTGCAGTTGGCGGAACTGGTCCTTTGGACCCCCTCTCAAGGACCCCCCGCCCATCCTTACACTCGCCGCACACACGCTTTCGGTTTATAATTGGATTTTGATTCGTTTTGCATAAAAAGTAAGCTTACATCCAGACGCCAGACTATTCCGTGAATACGCCCTATATGTGTGCGAATTTTATGGCTTCACTGAGGCGTCGCTTTGTCCATGACCAAAATCGAAAAAAAAGTGCGTGACCCAGTCGCAATAATAACGAAAATACATCTGGAACCCTTATTGAACTTTAGCTCCTTTTTCTCTCTTCTCAATTTGCAAATAATTCGACTGCATTTTCTTCTTATTGTATATATGGCTTTAGCATTTATTGCATGTCCACACAAAAAATCCATACATTTATTTATATTCGTCAATTTACATATTGAATTTGAATGCGATGCTTATGCAGCTTCATTTGATTGGTACAAATAAGTCAAATTGGGACTCGAGAAAATGGACACATGAAATATCAGTTTTCGGCCAAACCAAGCAGCTGTTGTTTCGATGACTTAGTTTGTTTTATTGGATCATCAATTGGGATTTATAGGAATCAGCAGTTTAATATTTTCTGTTGGCCAAAAGCTAAAGAAACTGACAAAAAGTGTATTTTTGTGGTGTATAAAATGTCAGACAATCAAAATAAATTATTGTAAATTTAAATTTATTTTATTTTTTGGGATATAGAAATAATAGAAAATTAAGAACAAGATTTATTTGTAATTTTATTTTATTGCCATAATATAAATGAATTTTTAGACAGAGACATTTATTTATCCTTCAATAATTAAACAATTAATAAAGTAGGAGCAACATTTGTATTATATAAATAACACATATTTGTTTAAAGATTAACTATTTGTCCTATTTGGGTTTATTATTTGGATGAGATTGCAGTGTCTTCTAACAAGATAAAGTTTTTATATTTACCGAAGGAAAAGTGTCGTTCCCAAAGGGATTTACCCTTCTCTCATTCACCCCATTAGGCCACTTAAATTATGGTCAACCTAAAAAAATGAGTTTACAAGGATCCAGAACAAGTGGCTCGTAAGCCGGGTTAATCTCTCCATCTTGTTGCCACTTGCCCCAGCCAACCAACTAATAAATCTGCCCCATCCTCTCAAGCGGACACTGTCCATGAGCACACCTTCCGAATGTCCCATCTAGGAGAGCCCAGGCATATTTAATTTTTTTTTAGCCCCGTCGACATGCGTGCTTTATTGGCCATAGTCCCGTAGAGAAAGAGGAGCAGTGGTCGGGCCACTGGGCACTTAGCACTCCTTAAGTTTTACAACTTCACGCTCAATCAGACGCTGCCAACGGCTGCAGGCCATAAAAAGTAACGCCTCGAACTTCAAACTTTAACCCCGACAAAGTCGCATGCGGAAGGATTTTTTATGTGTCTTTAAAGTAGCGTTAAAACTTGGGTTGGGCTTGTTGTTTTTTTTTTTGGCTATTGTTGTGGTTGGCCGAAAATCTGAAAGTAAATAAATACGACTGGGACTTAGCTCTCCTGAATCCAGCTGAGCACCTTTCGTACTAAACATTGGGGAATATTAGTGATATTACAAGACATGACATTTCAGGGAGAGTTTTGTCAGCTTAGGAAAAATATTTTGTAATATTTTTGTTTAATATGTTTTTATTTTTATTGCCTAAAAGTTCTTCTATTTCCTATCAAAATGGGATTAATGGTTTTCCTCATATACAAAGTTGAATTGATTTTTATTGCTTTCCAGCTCTTAATTTCGCTATTAATATCCAATACAGCAATGAAAGTTTTCTTTTATCTATTTTTCTTAAAGGCTTCAGAAAAAGTTTTTGAAGGACGTTCAAAAATAAGGAAGTTCCGGTTATAAAAGTTTTAATATAACAACTTCCTCTTCTTTAACAAATTTGACTTAAAGTTAAGTTGTCTTTCAACCCACAAATCCAGCTGATTCACAATTTAATGATTTATTTTATATTTTTAATTAAAATGTATCCTGTCAGGGAATTCAGCAAGTAACCTGTTTTCTTTCCTGTTTTTCTGTTTTTGTTTTCGTTCTTTGGTGGTTAACTATTTTATGTTTTATAGGACTGACCCCTCTGACGTTTCCCAGGGCAATGCTTTTACACAAATTATATTATTTTGCTTTGGGATAAATAATGAATTATGGCAACGGAAATCAAAAGGCCACTTCAGCGACCGAGACTGGCAACCAAAACAGACGTATTTTGCTACCCAGTCTCTGGATGCCACCGGATACCACCGGATATATAGTTGCCACGGGGGTAACGATGGGGAGACTTCTATAATAAAGCATAACGAGCTGGGAGTGGGTGGCACAGGTTGCTACACACTTAGATTGTTGCAACCTTAACAACAACAACTTGGCCCGGTTGTTTGCTTTGTTTTATGGCTAATTTTAGACAATTTATGAAGTGTTGGTTATGCTTGATAAGAGCCTCAAGCGGAAGCAACAACAAAAACAACCAGCTACCAACAATAACAAACAGCGGAACAATTCATGCAAATGAGCTCCGCTTAAAGTCCTTGCCTTGGCACATTACGCATACGCCCCGTAATGCGCGACAAATGATAAAGCCGCGTAAGCCGCTCCCCCAGTATATATGTATATATGTACCCTTCAAGGGGTATGAAGTTATCACGGCTGACATATGAAGTTGTTACTTTTCAACAGCAACAAAGCTCAGAGTTCAAGATGAAAAAGCGGGAAACATAAACAATGCCATTTGACAAGAGTTGTTGACAAGAGTGGCTGACATCTTCATCTGTTTATACATTTTTTCCTTCTCCTTTCGGGCTGCCTAATGTGCCCATGTGGTTGGCAGGAGAATAAACTTGTTAACTCGAGAGTGGTAATTAAAAATTATCTGCGGAAATCCGAGTGCATATTAGGGTAAGAGGCCAAAATCATGATAAATAAATAATAATAATGAATGGAAGCTAAAATGACTTGTGTAATAAAATATGAAATGTATCTTACACCATTAAAAAGATTGACGTCAATAAAAATGGAGAAGTCTATATTAAATGGGAAGCTTAAAGTTAGAAAACAAATTCTTTGACTACCGTTTTGTTTAACTAATTAAAATGGGAATCCGATTGTTAAAGCTTTCAATCAAAATCATCGGAAAATAAAGAAAATCCCACATAAATATTAGTATACAAGATTACAGGAATTTACTTCAGGAACAAATATTATAAATATATTTCTATATTACTTATAAATAATATTACAATTTGACAAAAAAAGTGCATAGGATTGGCTTAAAACTATTTTTGTATGCATTCTTAAATGAATTGGAATAAAAACCTTGTTCTCTTTGTAATATATAAAATCAAGGTTTTTAATTGATTTGTAATTAAGGTGGTAATTAAATGGCTTCAGTGAAAATTAAATACTGGAATATGAGAGCAAAAGGCAAAATAAATGAATAAAATCAGTAATGCAATTTCCAACGCAACCACATTTCAAATTAGCCACAGCTCGACATTTACTGTTTACATTATTGAAAGTAATCAAATATTATCCCCCCTTTGCATAATGGTAAAATAGAGATGGACGATGGCCGAAAGCGAGACGGTTTAATTATTCAGATGAAATTCTAAATAAATTGATAGGCAGCAGTTGGCAAGTGTTGTGTGTTTTCCACTGGAGTGGCGAGAGGTTTTGTTTGCCAACCATTGAACGTTTTCAAAACTTTATTTGTCTGGATGTTGGCATTTTGTGGCATTCGCTGTGGTCCTTTAGGAATTTGTGGCCCCCCAAAAAAAAGAGCATTAATGTGGCAACAACTTTAAGCCCGAAATCCGCTTACAGCAAGGGAACTGGACCAAATGCCATCAGCTTGTAATATATATTTTTATGGTCTTTTAATAGAGTCATAAAAGTGCATTGTTTTGATCTCCATCAGACTTGAGAATGTTTTGAATTATGTAGGACATGATAAGATGAAGATGACTATTGATTTACGGAGCTAACTTGTGCGTGTAAAATACGTCCTCAATCTCACTGCAATGCACTTGCATAGTTGGAAATCCAATTAAAAGTATTTCACCAAACAGCTATTCAGCTTAATGAACTATTTCCTTCGGCTGAAAATCAAGCAACTTGAGATATTTCAATATATACAGGGAGAAAATATTTTCTTAATAATTTAATACACATTAAACAAATTAGAACAAATTATAATGAATGCATGATAATTGATCACTTAAGCCAAACAGTATTTAATCTGTAAGACAAGAAAGTTTAATCATAAAAGAAGGAAAACATAAAACTTGGCAACTTTAATGCTTTAAACTCTTAAACATTTTAACATTTTTTTGATTTTGAAAAATAGAAAAATAAAATATTTTTTTCTTATAAAGGGATATTACAAATTTCTTCAGTGAAAATCCACTTTATGTTAGTAAATATATTTTCTTTGCGCATAAGCCTTCGTTAAGATCCCCTCCAAACAAGTAAATCAATGCCAATCGATGGGGTATTTAATTAAAATTTAGTCTGTTTCACGGACTTGTGTTTAATATTTGGTTCAATGAACCGCAATGTAAACCTTTCGCTGTTGAGTAGCAGGAAATCTGGGAGATGGATGGCACTATCCCGATCCCGTCCAATGGGTCACTCCAACACGCGCCAAAGTTTTGTCAAGTTTATAAATGCCGTACCCCCCATTTATTCCCATTTGGTTTGGCCCTCTACTTAAGCACGCGCTGGCAAGTAAAATGTTTCAGCAACTTTCAACTTTGACATAATGCAAATTATTTGATTTCATTTTATTATTTGTTTATCTCTGCGCCTCTCGTCCCTCTGCAACTTTTGGTAAGTGTTTAATTTGGTAAAGTCATGGTGGGGAATGAGAAATGAGGACCTGCCATACATTTTAATAGCCACGGCACATAAGCCACTTTGCTTTTGCGTGTGGGATGAAACAGTCGTGGCCATGTCAAACCACAAAACAATTTAAGTTACAAACATTGAAAACTTTTCTATTTGTCGCAGCAACAAATTCGCAACAGCCAAAAGTTTCGGAGGCGGCATGAACAACTTTTGAGCTATTTTTTTTTTTATTTTTGATTAGGAATTTTTGGGGCAGCATCCTGGATCCACTTCACTACCGACTGACTGGTCATTCCTAATACGCCCCGTGGGCGAGACTCGTGTCTGTCAATTGCTGCTGGCACACAAGGCGCATGATTGACATCGCCCCTCACGACTCAGAACTCAGAAAATTCAATGATTAGCTCACTTGAGCGCACCGCTCATCCATTGACTCCACTTATATTATGGTGCTTCATTTAATATGTTTAGACGTTGATTAATTGTCTGCTTATATTTCTTGTGCTTTTCGACTTGGCACAACAGATGTCCGAACGCATTCAATAATTCTTTTTCAGTAACATATTTCTCGCGAATTCGGTTTGGAATTATTTTTATTGCAAATAGCATGTTTGGTTTATATAACCCGACAACTTCTAATAAAGTTCCCTTATAGAAAAACCATAGTATTTCTCTTGAAGTTTAAGTTTAAATTTTTTAATTAATTTTAAATCAGTTATATTTATAATGTATACATATATAATTTTTACAGTTCGTAAAGCTAGCTCGAAAATTTCTTTATTTACTTTCCACTATCCGTAATTTTTCACCAGTTTTACCATGTTGGATTTGGTTTATTTCGGGGTTTTCTAAAGTTTTTGCTCGGTTGACACTTCACAAATGTAGTTTCTGCACACGGCTCTAATACAAGGTTTCAACGCTACTCAAAAGATTACTTATATAAGGTCGGGGGTGTGGCGGGGCTTTATGCCTGGCTGTCTTAAAATATCATACAACTTAGGATCTATAAGCGATATAAGGGTTTAAAGGATTTAACAACAATTGTAGCTAACACATGAATCATATAACGAAAGATTACTAATGTGGGGTAAAAAGGCCGAAGCTAAAACAAAATAGGTTTATTTCACTCGAAAATTTTTAAATCCTCCGTTTGAGCAGGGCAACAGAGACTAATCAGAGATATATCAGCAGCAGGAGTAGCTTCAGGATGAAAAAGCATAGCTATCAGCTTCTCGTGGCATCCTTCTTCTTGTCAGGTTGAAATAAAAATCTTTAAATAGAAATTGGATATCCATTAATTGTATATTTTCCTAAAAAGAGTGAATTCAAACACTTTCTTTCATAAACAATCCCAGAAATAAATTCTCGGGAAAATTTATTTACTTTAAAAAATAAAAATATTCGCTAGCTAAGCTTAAAGAAATCTATACCGATTAATAAATTTGGATTTTATTTGTACGACGGAGTAAAATTTATGATTTACTCAAATATACTTCATATGCCTTTTTTTTATAAAATAAGAAGATCCTTTTTACAATTTTCAAAAATTTTAGCACAAAGACAAAATTACATTAAAATAAGATCAAAGTAGGAAATTGTAATAACTTTAAATTGAAAAACTTATTTCAAGTTTAAGCTTGCTAAAAACTTTAACAATTAGATTTACATTTAAGAAATTGATTGCTAAAACCCATAAGCCTACATAAATCAAGTGATTTTTCCATCTTAAGAACTGAAAGCCCCACCTGATCTCGTTACAGAAGCTGGGCCAACTCCTGTTCCTGGGCCAGCTGCTCCCGTTCCCGCTCCCGATCCCTCTCCTGGTTCTCCTTCAACTCCCGAGCCGCCCGCTGCTGCTCCTCCTCCTCCTGCTGCTGCTGCTGTTGCTGCTGCTGCTTTTTGCGGTGCTCGTAGTTTACTAGCCGCTGTCCCACCAGATACTTGTCCACCTTGATGGACAGGTAGAGCTTCTTCAGCTGCTTGATCTGGAACAAAACGAAGCAGATGCTGCCCACCACGAAGAAGCTAACCGGATAAACGAGACGGGCGACGACATGCCGCGCATAAGCGTCGGCTAGGAAAATCGGGAACACCATGTGGGCCAGGACGTAGGGAGCGGCCAAAGCCAGGCCAAAAGTAGTAACCACCGGCACTGCCAAGTCCCGCATCACAAACTTCAGATCGAAATCGCGCAATCCATCCATATAGGCACGCTCCAAGGCCCGTTTCAAATGCCAATCCGGACCCATTAGAGTCAAGGCGATGGCTATCTTGCTGTAGAGCACGCCCAGCGCCCAATCCTGCCACAGGAAGTGGATGGGTGTCTTGCTCAATGCAACGCGTAGGGGAATGACCACCACCAATTCAAGTAGCAATCCAAAAAGTAGTGGAACCAGCACGAAGATTCCCAGGAGAGTTAAAACAGGCAGGGCATATTGTAATGCCACTCGTGCCCAGTGCTTGAGTTTGCTGACAATAGCCGCTCGTCCTTGGGGCAATAGGGTGACGACCACGGCCACTCCCCGGCAGACAATCCAGCACAGGTAGCCTCCAATCTCAGCGGTGTACAGCTCGTGAGAACGCAGCAGTCGCTCGTTCTTCCTGGCTCCCTCCGGATCCACCGGCGCCAGATTCCCAGCCACTCCGACTGCTCCTGCCGCGGCGGCCGCTCCCGCACCGGCTGCCTTCTCACCCGGCTGGCCAGTCCAGAGCATCATCAGCCGCCGACCAATGTAGACGGGTACGGTGAGCGTCAGCATGGCAGCACAAACGATGGACAAACACATGAGGGAGAGCAGGGCGCACAAACGGAAGGCGAACAGCGAGGGTTTGTCGTATGGCTGGAATCCCACGGGTGCATCCCGCTGCATGATTGCCTGATGAGCGGCGGCCAGGTTTCGTGGTGCTGGCGCAGGTTCTACTGGCGGTGGCGGTGGAGGCGGCGGTGGTGGTGCAACAGCTCCCTCATTATCGCCCTCTTGATTACCATTTTCGCCAGCCGCATTCTCCACGCCTTCTTCACCAGCTGCGGGATTCTCGGGCTCCGGTTCAGGGGCCGGAAGCAAATAGCTTCGGATGCCCAGCAACCAGGCCACCGCGGTGCACCATATGCGAAGTAATCCCTTCAGCCAGATGCGCGTTTGGGTTTGCTCAAAGAAGCCTGGTAAAACGATCTGAAAGCGAAATGGTTTAGATAAAATACAATAGAGGATTACTACACTAACTCACCTGCAAAAGAAGCAGTTGCAGACTTAAATCGTTGACCTCCGCATCACCACTCAGAGCATAGGGCAAGAAGTTTGGCCAGGCCACCTGAAGAATCCTAATGGGCAGCCAAAGCATCAAGAGAACGGCGAAACCAAAGATCATGGCCGAGGCGACCAGCCGGCGGATGTGTCTCACAATCGGTACATGGATCATCTCCTGGATGGGACTGAAGTCCGGATCGTTGACATTACGAAAGATCCAGAGCACGCCCGGCCTCAGAACCTCCCTCAGCAGCGAGATGAAAGCAGCAAAGTAATAAACGTAGACCATGCCAAACATCCAGTGAACGAAAAGAGAGGTGCCCGGAGCCGCTTTGAAGCTAGCCTTGCGATCCTTAAGACTGGCGTCCAGTAAAGGCAACGAGCAGATGTCCAGCCACCAGCCGCAGATGAGCGGTAGTACTCCAATCTCCACAACGGAAAGTAATGATACCTTCACCACTATATAGCACAATCCAATAAACCAGCATACTCTTCGCAAACGGAATACTCTGGCGAAGAAGTGCAGCACCACCAAAGTCAAGCCAATGCAACAGTATCCAAATAAAGTGGTAATCAGGCCGTGAAAGTGCAACAGTGGCTTCTCCGGCTGCAGAAGATCCATGGAACTCAAGATAAAGTTGCCCACGCAATAGGGGCAAAAGGCGAAGGTAAAGATGAACATGGTGTTTAGTGAGATGATCCAGAAGACGTGCTCGAGGAAAACCAACGAGCCATCGAGGCCCAGAAGGCGTTCCCAGGTGAGCTCCTCAGCGGCACGATCCCATTCCATGGGGTTCCAATTCTGCTCATCCGCATCGGCGTCCACGGCGGGAGCTGCAGCCGCTGGAGCTGCTTCCCGGGCGGCATCCTGTCCCTCGTTGTCCGCTGGGGCGGGCGCCTCGTTGTCCATGGGCACGTCCTGCGGTGCATCGCCATTGTTGTTGTCGTCCTGGGGCAGAGGAGCTGCCTCTGCGACAGGAGCAGGCGCAGGATTAGCAGCCGCTGCCTGCAGAGGGGCATCATCCCGCTCCAGCCAATCGGGGCCGCCGCCATGGAGGATTTGTTCGCGCAGCCAAACCAATCCTATAAAGGATAGCAAGGTGCAAGTCACCACAAAGCAGCCCCGAAACGCATCTGCTGCAAGGTTTTCCATGGAGAAGATGTCAAAGGGCAGCGTGAGAATCATGTCGAAGGAGCTGGCCCGGAATAGATACCGGTAGGTCCTGTAGGCGGACAATGGGACCACTCCAAACCAGGCCATGCCCACCAAGGAGTAGTGGAGCCAGCAGCGGGCGCCCTCCAAAACAGCGGACATTAGACCCACCAGGACATCCTTCAACGGCAGGACTCGCGGCATATCCGGGGCATAGATGGGCTGGAAACTGAAGCGGTAGCCGCACAGTTCGCAGTACTCTTTGTGCGAGTAGCGCATCCATTGCATCAGACAGTCCTGGTGGATGTACTTGATCGATCCCGTGCAAATGCATGGGTAAAACAGAGGCCTATCCGACTGCGCTTCGCATCGGCACACGCGGCATATGTCTATGTCGCCCTGCGACAGGTCGTCCATCTTGATCGCTTTTTCTCCAGATCCTGATCCTTGGCCTTCAATTTAACCCAGTTTGGCAAAAAGTTCCATCGGCCATTTGCGCAATTCGCTGGGCAATTTAGCTAATTGGCCCGAGGTTGCTGGTCTTCCGGCCGATTCTCCCCGCCTTTTAACCACGCTAATTAATTACTCGTATATTATAGACCGTTAGGCGCATCTAACACTTGAATTTTAACCGAGAACTTGTGATATTATTACGACAAAACAAAAATATGCAGCCCAGTTCACAAAAAAAGTGGCAGCCACCACGTACCAGTGTGTGCACACCACGAAAATGATGAAAATTTTTGCAACAGAGTTGCCACCTAGCGTACAACAGCACGTTACGAAAACAGTTTTCAATAAAATTATTAAAAACTTAATAAGAAAAGTAACATTTGCATTTATGATGTCGTTGTCGCCCAAAAAATGCAAATAAAGAAACAACGACATCATAAATGCAAATAAAGAAAAATATCTGCAATAATTTTTGAAAAAATTTAATTTGATATATATGTGTAAGTATACGCAGGAAAATTAATAAAGCATATATCGCTTTGACCCTTTGTAAATCATATATTGTTCTTTTATTTATGATTTCAATCATTGCAAACTTGCTTGAATTCATAAATGCGGTATTACAAATTTATTATCAAATGTTTTCAATATCAAGCACAAGATCAAGAGTATCAGGTCCACAGATATTGAGTTCTGTCATCATTAGATTTGATAATAAATATAGAAATAAAAGATGTTTGAATGTACTTGCGAAATGTTTTATGTTTGTTCTTCCTTTTATTCCATTTAAGGAATACCTTGGCTTGAAAAATAAATCCGACCAAGTGGTAAAATGTTTTCAAATGTTTTGAAAGGACGACTACGGAGCTCATGTCGTAAGTTAAAAAAATTTGATTTAATGATTAGAGTTTCTTATTAAATATTAAAAATATGAAATTTTCTTATTATTTTTCATATATAATATATAAATTTAGGACTACAAAATATCGTGACTTAAAAATAACAGCTCAATTAAAAGTGTATCCACACCTTAGGTGGTATTACCAGCAATTACGTTGTCTGGTAACTCTCCACCGTCTTGTTGTTGTTGTGATTCTCTTGTCATTATTTTGCAATCAATTCTTAAAAGATTTTGCACTCCCAAAAAACGCAGAAAATAAGCCATGCAGCGAAAGATGATAAATATCCTGGGACAGACGACGCGCCGTTTGGTCAGTGGTCAGCAAATCCGCCCATTGTCAGTTTCCGCACGGCGCCAGGAGATCTTTAAAGTTCAAAGTGCCGAGGATTTCGACAAGAAAGTGAAGAACAGCCAGCAGCCCGTGATCGTGGACTTTTTTGCAACGTACTTTGAATTATATATATCCTGACTCATCAGTAATTAATTGTTATATCACAAACCCCCAGATGGTGTAATCCCTGCAAGCTGCTGACCCCCAGAATCGAGGGCATTGTGGGCGAACAAGCGGGTTCAATAAAATTGGCCAAAGTGGACATTGATGAGCACAGCGAACTAGCTTTGGATTACGATGTGGCCGCCGTTCCCGTCCTAGTGGTCTTGCAAAATGGCAAGGAGGTGCAGCGCATGGTGGGCCTGCAGGATGAGGACAAAATCCGCGCTTGGGTCGCCGCCGCTGTCAAGCAGGCAAAATAATATATGAATCACCCAAAAAGCAGAGGATTACTCCTCGAAAATGAAGCCTAGCTTTAAATTATTCGGACTTTCGAAATAAATGTTTATTTACCCGTTGAAATAACAATGAATCTTATGCTATAGACTACAAACTAAATGGAAAACCAGCCTGGAGTGCCGGGTCTTTTCTTATTTCTGTCCAGAAATCTTCGGAAACCTTCCTTTGATTCATCAAGTGACTTCTCCTCTTTGGCCTGTTTTTCTGCCTTTTCCGAGAAGAAATCGGGGAAGACAAAGGACTCTTCCCTGGGCTGTAATATAATGAATTGATATAAAAATCTATCCGCAAACCCTGAGAATCCAGCAATCCATACCAATGTTACATAAGCCAGTTTCACATCATCTTTCTTGGTGATGTATCCATAAGTTTGATCCTTCTTGGTTTCCCCCAGGGCAATACGAGTTCGCACATCGACCACTGGAAGCTTGTAGATCTTCTCCAGATAGCTACGCACATCGTATTTGGTCATCTCCATCGAAACCGAAAAGGTGACCACATTTGGCGGCTGCTCCTCCGTGGGCCGAATCAACTTCATCCAGAAGTTCGGGAGGAAAACTCGCAGTTGCGGATTGCCGCGCTGGTAGATAGGATACCACCTGGTGGACATGGCGGAACAGCAACTCCTGTTTTTATTCAAGATTTAAGAAATTAAATTAATTGCTGTGCGTTTTACAAAATGCACTAAAAAAGACCAATGGTTTCATTGCGTCATGGGCGGAGCAAAGGGGATGATGGGTTTCTGCAACCCCCTGATATGTTTGGTTTGGGTTAATGCAATAAATAAATAAAAAAAAAATTGTTGATAAGTTTCGTGAAATTAAATTTAAGATTAACAGAGATTTCATCAACAACATTTTTAAACCCAAATGTTTATCGATTTCAAGTTTTGGAATGAAATTACTAGTAAAGTATTAATTTTAATGGAGCAATATACACAAATTTAAGTTTACAACAAATTTAAGCGTTTAATCGCTTAATAAAGTTATTAAAGTTAAATTTTAACAGTCGTTTGAATTAGAGAATCCCCTTCAAAATGTCTGACTGCGTCCATGTCAAACCACGTGGTTGTCCAACACTAGTTAAAAACAGCTGATTCCCCAATCACAACAATTTTTAAATGTGATCTGATTGAAATTGCTTTCAAATCTCACTAAAAATGGTTAAAATAAAGAAAAAGGAGGCCAAAAAAAAGCCATTAACCCGCAAGGAGCAAAGAAAACAGAAGTCGGAGGTCAAAAAGCAGAATAAGCGGCTTTATCACGCCGGCAAAACCAACGGAACTCAGCGCGTGGCCGCGGCAGCAGAGGCGTCGGCAGCGCAGTCTCTACAAGGCAAAAACAAGAAGAAGAAAAAGAGCAAAAAACCTAAAGTAAATCCAGACGATATTCCCAAAGAACAACTTTTATCCGGAGAAATAGACAGCGATGATGATGAGTCCATCGATTCGGATTTCAGCGATCCTGATGTCGATGCTCTCATGCCCAAAAGCAAGGAGAAGGTGGAAGTTTTCGAACCTCTGGGTAAGAGGGCCAAGAAAATGCAAGGAGGTGCCATCCAAAGACAGGATGAAGAATTGGTCAGGAGAAAGGAACTCCGCCAGCAAAAGGAACTGTCGTCCAAGTCCAAGAAGCAGCGACTCAAGACACTGCGCCTGGAAAACGAGGAAGAAGATCGCGAGATCAACAAGCTTGAAAAGAAGCTGAAACTCAACAAATCAAAGGATAAAAACCGTCTGGTTAGGAAGATGTTTAACGATGGTTTGGACTACCTACTGGACTTTGTCCTGGATGACGAAGAGGAGAAGCAGAAGTGGGAGGAAAAACAGGAAAGAAAGAAACGGCTAAAAGAGCAGCAAGAAAAGGAGGATGCGGGCATGTGGAGCGATGAGGAGGAAGAGGAGCAGGATGAACTGAAAGATAACTTCCCGGAAGATGACAGCGGTTCAGAGGATGAGGAGGACGATGAAGATATAAGTGGAGATGAAAGCGATGAAGGGTCCGAAGCAGAAGAAGAAGCTCCCAAAAGTAAGTTTATATTAGTTTTCTCACAAAACTCACCCATTAATCCCCGCTTTTCTATCCCCAGTTAAAGAAGACATCTACGGACGAAAGCGAGATGCCGAGGGCAACATCCTGCCCGATCCCGTGGAGAAAGAAGCCTCTGCTGTCGGTCAGAAGTACATACCTCCACATCAACGAGCTCTGATGGCCGCCAGTGCAGGATCCAGCGAAAAGCAGGCGGAGATCCTTGCCCGATTGCTAAAACAGAGTAAAGGTCTCCTGAATCGACTGTCCGAGGCGAATCTTCACAAGATTGCCGCTGGCATAGAGGCCCTATACATGAAGAACTCCCGCTACAACATGAACGAGACCCTAACAAAGTTACTCCAGGAAGCCTTGCTGGGTTCCACGCGGACCAATGAGCGAATGGTACAGGAACACATGGTTTTATTGGCCTATCTGCATGCACAAATAGGCAGCGAGATCGGTGCCCATTTTCTGCAGACATTCGTGGAGTTATTCGATGGTTATGTCAAGGATATCACTAACTTGGAAGTGGAGGACAAGCAGTTGAATAACCTTGTGCTAGTGCTCTGCTACATGTACCTGTTCAAGATTTATGAGCTGAGCTTGCTAATGGAGCTGATAGGCAAATTGACAGATCAGCTTTGCGAGAAGAGTGTGGAGTGCCTTTTGCAGATATTCCAATCGATTGGTTTCCGTCTGCGCAAGGATGATCCACTAGCTTTCAAGACCATGATGCAAAAAGTTCAATCGCAGATTGCCAGCGCACCACTAGAACTCAAGGAGAATCCCCGCCTGCGTTTCATGGTAGACATCCTGAATGCAGTCAAAAATAATAATATGCAAAAGCTGCCGCAATATGATCCTGAGCTGGCGGATAATCTACGAAAGCGCCTGAAGGCCATGCTGAAAAACGATCGCTATGTTGTTACCCTAAATATAACACTAGAGGACCTCCTGCGGGCCGACAAAGTGGGAAAATGGTGGATCGTGGGCTCTGCCTGGACAGGAAACCTCGACGAGATGGGTTCTGCCAAACAAAAACCGAATAAGAACTCATCTAATTCTGCAAATGCAGGATTTGCGGATCAGTTACTGGAGCTGGCCAAAAAGCAGCAGATGAACACTGCCGAAAGGAGGAATATCTTCTGCATTATCATGAGTGCTGCTGATTATGTGGATGCCTTTGAAAAGATCCTGCATTTGGCTCTGAAGGATCAGCGGGCGGTGGCCTATGTGATCATACATTGTGCCCTAAACGAGAAGCGAGCGAATCCCTATTACGCTCACTTGGCCCTCAAGTTCTGTCAATTCAATAGGAAGTATCAACTGGCATTCCAGTTCGCCAGTTGGGATAGGATTAATGACATTGAAAAGCTTTCAAAACCGCAGATTCGTAACCTGGCTAGTTTTCTACAACAAGTAATCCTAGCAGCTGGCTTGCAGCTCTCTGTTCTTAAAGTGGTGGACTTCATGCAGCTGGATAAGCTCAGCTTTTACTTTATGAAGGAAGTGATGGTCAGGTTACTTTTATCGCCCGACGAGCGGGAAGTTTATCAGACGTTCGAAAGAGTCGCTAAGAACTCGAAGCTCCAGCAATTTAAACAGAGTGTTCGGCTTTTCCTGCAGCATTTCCTTTTGAAATCGGATCAACTGGACAAGCTGAAACTTAAGGAGGAAGAGCAGCAGCTGCTGCAACAGCGGGTAGATCACCTGGACAAATTGCTGGCCTATGTGGATCTGTAAATATAAGTAGAGTTAAAAAGCGACCTTAATAAATTGTAAAATAAGCTTCTACTCGAAGAGTAGAATCCATGTTTTTACTACAAATAATGAAAAATTGAAGGTTTAAAAATCAATTCACCGTAAACAAGTTCCAATCATGATTTAAGTAAAATAAAAAGGCGGTGCTTTATTAAATCCTAGAGAAAACATTAACAACTAACATATAAAACTAGTCGAAGCTCTGAAGGAGATCACGTGCCCGCTGGTACCGCGTGGACTCGATCAGTTTCTGTCTTTCAGCCTCGTCCTCCAGTTTCTCTCCTTCCTTGTCTAGTTTCTGGATTACCTCCTCAGCCAATTGGCTGATCTTCGAGCGCGCTGCTCCCTGGGAACTGGCCAAATACTCCAGAGCAGTGGGCCACAGCTCGGCATCTAGTTTCTCCTCATCGAAAGCGGTTTGTTGGATTGAAATCTGCCGGAGTTTGTTGAACTTCCACTCCTGGCGGGATTCCTTCCATTTGATGAGGTATTCTTTGTTGATTTTGGCTTCTTTGTTGGTGTTCTGATTTCTTTGGGACTCGAGACGCTGCTGGTGCTTCTGTTTCTTCTTCTGGCGCACGGTTACCACGGCATTGGTGTTTTCCGGACGGGCAGCCTCCTCTAATTGAGCTTTTGTGGGCTGGGAGTCCTCTTCATCATCGTCCGAGTTGTTTTCCTTTTTACTGCGCTTCTCCTTTACGGGTTTGTTTGCTTCCTGAACTTGTTTTCTTTTTAGAGGCTTCTCTGAATTACTTTCTTCGTGTCCATTGGTGGCCACCTGCACCTCCGTCGCCAATTTCTTGCTCCGTTTCTTGGTAGCCAATGCTTCTTCTCCTTTTTGCCGCCTTTTTGGTGGTTTATCTGTTAATGTTGGATATATTACATATAGTTGGTTCACGAACAAAGCCAAGCCCACCTGTAACAGCCGCCTGTTGCTCCACCTGTGGCTCCAAAATAAGACTTTTGTTGGCCACCTCGTCGTCGGATGCCGAATTTTCGATATTTTTAACTGCCTCGTGCTTGCGTTTCTTGCCCTGGCGCTTGGCCTTTTTCTCCATCTCAGTGCGGGCCATTTCAACTGTGTCTCCGTTTAAAAACAACTTATAAAATCAATTAATTACAGAGAAAATTTAAAAAACCTCTTGAATTCTGAACACAATGTGATTTTTGTGATGCCGACGTTACACAACACTAAAAAGTGGGGAGCCACACCATGTTTATTTAAAGAGTGTGGCAGCTCTCCAGCTGATGACAAGTAACCAGCGATCTGGCAACGTTGGGAAACAAATAAAACAAAATAATTCCAATTGCCAAATCTGAGCTTATGTTTAATGATATTAACAAACCATAAATCATATAAAAGTGCATTTCGGGTGTGTAAGACCGTACCTATGCCGCCACCCCTTTTCCAAACGAATTTCCGCCCGAAGTCAAAAAATATTTCACAAGCTAAGCTCGCGGCGCGTAAATGAAATCCGTGTGATAGTTGTAATTAATAAAACTAAATGTAATTATATAGTTATCTGAAGTTTGATTAAGGTGAAGAGGAGTACTAAGCATTTAACAGGTAAGTTTTCTATCCAAATTAATTATTTCCATATTTATCTGGCGGCAACAACAACAACAAAGCGTGCTCCAACCGGCAAAATGCAACTGTTATTTGCGGGTGTATGTGTTTTTTTGGCAGTGCGTACGTGTGTGTGTTCCCAGCAAAAAAAAATAAAAATGCGTGTTTTTCGGGTTTAAAACAACAAGGGAGTCTATAAATGCATCTTGACAAGAAAGGAAGGAAAAATATTGAAACAGAAGGAGTTGGGAGTCTTAAAACAGCTGTTGTTTGCCCACAGGAGTGTGGGGGAGGACCCTAAATCCCAGCTGTATTTTTTTAAGGTGAGTGAAAACAGATAAAAATATTTACAGCTACATTACACAAAGTACAGTTGCAATTTTGGGGTATGTAAACATACAGTTAAATGGGCATATTTAAAACGCAATGAAATATATAGAAAAAAAATGTTACAGTCCAAAACTCGATCTTTGTTAACTCAAAATCTTTATCGGTGGAGTCCCATAAATTGGTAATAGAAAAAAACGAGGTAAAATAAACTATCAACCTCGAAGCCTCCATAAATCTGACTAACTTTTTGTGGTAGATGTTGGTTGTGAGCAATGGAAGTTCGACTGTTTTTGATAAGCCTTTTCAAATTATAAAAGTCAAATGATGATGTATTACAAATTATTCATTTGATTGACCTCTAATGAGTGTGCTCTGAATATAAAATAAGTATAGGCCGAATTGGAATAAAATGTATTTCCTTTAATTCTTCCAGCCATTTTTACACGGTCACCCAAAATTTCACTTTCATTTGCTGGACGCCGGCGCGACTTTCGGCCAAAAAATCGTTGTAAACAAAATTCTCAGTTGAAATGTTTCACATTATTGCTTCATCTTGCTTTGGCTCTTTGAGTAGTTTTCCGGCGTGGGCAAAAATAGCATTTCATCCGACTTTTCCTGAGTTTTCCGCCTATGCCCATGTCGAGTGAGCGGAAAGCTCTCACTCAGGGGTCGCCTCAGAATTTGTTGGCCATTGGATTCCTCCGCTGGCCATTCAGTTCTGCTTTGGTTGTGTTCCCCTTCGCATCGAGTTTTCAGTTCGCGTTTTTCCGCTTTTCCGTCGCGGTCTTCGGTAGTTTTTCCTCGCGTTTCTATCCTAAGTTCTAACCAAATCGCTTTGGTTTCTAAGTCGAAAGAATCCCAAAGATATTTTAGCAATTTTTCGGTGGTGAAAGCCCTTCAAGATATACTATCTTGGGGTATATGTCATTATCTGATGGTTAGGGCGGCATCTTTACTGGCTAATTGGATTGTCAACAGCTACAACATTCACAAGTGCAGACAGCGGACCTGTCACAACAAATAGAAAAAAGAAATAAAGGCTAACGACTCCGGTTAACTTCGCCGGTAAAACACGCGTGTGTTTTTGTGTGTCTTTCCAGTAATCAATATAGTGGCATTTGTTTTCGCGCGTTTTACTTTCTAACATACTTTGGTCCCTCGGTTTTACCCCTCGGACCCTTAACCCTCTATTGCCTGCGGTTTCTGTGACAACGTGAGCGGCCTAAACAAATGTGAGGGGGCCAACCACAAACGAAACACAAGAAATATCGGCTAACTTGCTGTTCTGGAATGATAAAGCTCCTGCACCCAAATGCTAGACAGTACGCGCTATAAGTGTAAGTACAAGTCGGCCTACACAGAGAATGCCTATATACATTTAAATCCATAAGCGAATTAGGGGATTTTTGAAAAAATATTACTAAACAAAGATCAGCATATAATTTTAAATTAAACATGAATAATAGTATTATTGTTAAGGCTTACAATAAAATTAGATATAATTTATTTTATTTAATTGTATTTCAATACAAAAGAGACTTATTTTTAAGTTTTCTGCAGTACTACTTCATTTTCCGTCTTGATCAATAGATGCTGCCTAAAAATTAAAATATTTGAAAATTGTTAGATGCATTTTCTCTCCGTGCCATTTCCTTGTTTGTTTATAAGCATTTCGGCACATCCGTTGAACGAGTATTACATCAGCTGAGGTGGAGAGGTGTGGCCGAGGTCCACTTGTGTGCGTCCATCATGATTCAGTTTCGGATTGAAATCTGTATCTACTCTATGCGCTAGCAACTTGTATCTATTTGGCAGCCGCATCTTCCGAATAATTTTCCACCTCTTCCACTCTCCGTGTGCGTTTGTTTTTCCAATAGTTTTCCTCTAAAATTGGATCAGTTCGTCGGCAATTAAGGCCCCCCAAAAATAAGACATATGTATTCGAACTAAACTCATTCGTTCGTCTAATATGAATGAATCAATGCACTACATCATTTCTCTTGAAAGTTTTGACTTCGCCGTATATCATTTCTGTAGTTCTCAAAATGTCAAAAACTGATGATTGTGGGGATTTGGATGGCAGTTTTTTGTTTTACAAACTGAAAATTCGTGCTCTGCGTGTTTTGGTACTTATGACAGGTCATTAAAATGAACTTTCTTGGAACAAAAAATGTCTCTTTTCTGGCCATCGATATTAAAAATAATCTTTTATATAATGTTTAAATATAAATTAATATTTTTCTCATTGATCTACAGTTTCTTTTTGTAATTTATGTAACAAAGAGCATTACCTAGACTTCCATTGTATACCTTGCCCCTTAAATTTTCTTTATGTAGTTTGGCTTTGCTTTGCGGCACTCGTAAAATGTATATTTTGAGCACAAATGTCAAATATCGCTTTTTAAGGGTCACCGGCTAAATATTTGCACTCTTTGCATATTTATTTTTCAATGTTGCCCATTGCAACTTGGCAAGTTGGCCAACAAAAGATGTTTTTTTTTCCTTTGTTTGCGAATTGCCGCCCTTTGGCTCATCGGTGGTTGGTTAGTTGTTGGTTGTCGGATGGTTGAGTCATTCTCTATAAGGGTTGAGTGCATTTTTATGCTCCGAAGATAGTTAGGTCGTAAATTCTCTGACCAGACTTTTAGCAAACAAATTGCCGACTTCCTTTGCAGCATATAATTTCCTTTCTAATGGTTTCTTACTATAAGCTTTTTGATTTATTTCCTGAAATAGAGTGAGGCACAAAAAAGAAAACACATTCATTGGCTTTATTTTGATATTGCTTGATTTCAAAGTCAGATATTTATTCTGTTCTCTTTCCATTTGAATTGACGTCAAATTGTTTATGCAGGCCATGGGCCGTTTAGTTGATGGCCGGCTGGTTTATATATTCTCTATATGTGGATATCTATAGGTGCTACTGTTTGCCGATATTGTGATTTTATATAGGGAAATTAAACCGCGTCTTGATTCCGAATGCAAGTCAGGATTTGACGACTCGGCGGCGTCACAGATTTGCGCGTTCAAAACGCCGCTGAAATATTAATGCACCGCCTGGCTTTTCGTCTGTTTTTTTAAACGTTAAATACACATTATATGGCCATATTAATTTTTTTGGCTTAAATGGCGTCGCGCCGACACGCGCACTTCCGTCACCAAAATGTTTTCAGAGAAAATCCCCAAAAAACAATCGCCAAAATATAAACTGAAACAAATACAATTTGTTTTTCGGGCGACAGAGTAACGACATGGGGGAGCAAGTGTTAAAATAAATTGTGACAGATTGTTTGGGGGTAGCACACAAGCTGTATTCAATAGCTATATAATATCAGGGTCTCTTTACGATATGTCGGGTAATTTTAGCTCGTTAAAATATGAAAAATCGTCTGGTCAAGACAGAAAAAAACGATCGAATCGGGGATAATGAGACATCCGCTAAGATTAATGGAATCTGTAAAAATTCTCGTTGTAAGGAGTCGTATTAAAATTGTGAAAAACGCTCTTGAACAGTTCAATGATCTTTCGAAATGTTCGGACTTTTATACATTTTGGATATAACTAAAATTTATAAACGTGCAAATTACAATTCTCTTTTGGCTTAGGTTCTTAAAAATGTTGTTTGTGTTAAAAAATACTTTTTTTAATATCGATATAAAACGTATACATCTTTTTAAAACCACAGTATTTGTATGTTTTTTTCTGAAAATAAACTCAAAAGAATTATTTAGCAAAACACTAACATTTTTATGCAAATTTTTTAACTTTAATGAATATGCAGTAGAATTCATAGCTTTAAAAATTTTCTAAAATTCCTTGATTTTTTTAGAAAATCTATCCTTCTAAAACGTCTTTATATTCTTCTTTTTATACAAAATTGTTAAATAAATAACATTTTCTATTTTCTCTCCCAACAGAAAACCCCAACAATATTTTAAATATTTCCATATAGAAATTTAAAAAATTGTCTCTAAATAAATTGTGTAGAAAAAATTCCTAGCTAGACATTAATTTACTAGACAGACCGACAGACGCATATAGAACGGACAAACAACAAAAGGCAAATATATTTTAAATGGGATACCTAAAATAATCCACAGATCTGACGACATCAGTGGCGACACGGAAAGCCTTGGGGAAGTGTTGCAAAAAATAAATACTTTTAGTTAGTCAATTCGGTTTCACGTGACCCTGAAAGAGTAAAATTGAGCATGAAATATGGTGAACTAGGCCAATACAATGGGGCATATGGGTTGACTCAATTTCGCAGACAACGA